CTGGAGGAACTAATCTCAGTGTAGTTCTCTTAAGGTTTACTTTCTAATACCTGAATATCTGGTTTATGGCCTGTGTTCTGTTCAGGTTTCACTGAAACTTGAACAAACCTCATTCACCTTTAGGTGTTTTACATAATCACTCTAGGAAATTATACATAGACTAGTATGTTTAGAAAATGTTGTAGTTCTTCAGTGAAAAAAGCACAATTAGTAGGTCACTTCTTGCTTGTCTGCACAGTTGTAGATGTCCCTGAACTGTTGTTCCAGAAGACTGATGTTATCACATCCTATATTTCTCTTTGGCATTCTCTTTCAGAATACAGATATGCTAAAAAAAAAAAAATACAGCTTTAGTCAATCTTTACCTTCAAAGGAAATTCAAGAAAGATTTTCAGTCACATTACTAGAATTGTGAGGAAAACACACCAGAGCCATTATTGTCGCAAGTTTCCTACTTGCGGTGAAGTTGTGATGTTAATATTGTTTCCAAGCTCATCTGTAATATATAGATTTATATATTTTGTAGAAGTCAGGTTTGTTCAATTCTTTTATCCTCCTTCAGGCTGCTGTGCAATAGCACAAATTGTTTATGTCTTTAACAGAACTGCTTTGTCTCAGTAATAAGACTTTCCAGTGAAAAACTTTTCCACTTAACTAGATTTAAGAAAGTACTTTTGAGAACAAAAGAAGGAAAAAAAGATCAGTTCTTTTTATCAGTTAATGCTCACTCAATGCAGCCCAAGGAGGCTGTAATGGAACAAAGGAAGAAATATCTTGATGACCATGTTACACAGTGTAGGGAAAACCTTCAGTTACAGTCCACACACAGCTGTCTTAAAGACTTGGCTAGAAAAGAGTAACATCGGATTGCACTAATAGAGACAATCAAATGAATGTCAAATTACAAGTTATTTCCTTTTCAGATGTGGTCAGTAGACTGTGTGCTGCTCACCATCCTGGGGGATTTAAAATGTGGTACACCACAGCTAGGCCACGGGACTTGTGGAGTAGAGTCATTAAAAGGTAAGGCACGAACAAGTTCTTATGCATTTACATTGAATTACCAGCTTGGCACCTTAAAAATTATTTGCACTTTTAACAGAAGTTTCTAGTCAGATATGAAGGTTTTATAGTTGTTGAGAAGCTCTGAAAAGAAATGGATATTCTTGCTGGTTACCTGTGGTAGCTTTCATACCTAACAATGCAGGCACATGCATATACTTACATTTAGATCTCTGAAGTATTCGTTATAGTCAAGGGCATATCCAACCACAAATTTATCTGGAATTTCAAAGCCTATATCTGTAAGAAAATACAACTCTTTTTATACTTTTAAAATGCATTTTATGAACAAAATAATTGTTTAAAACCTAGTTATGAAGTAGTCCTGAAAGAGGAGACAAGGATTGAGATTTTACTTGTGTGAAAGTAGATGCACTGCGACTCAATAGGACTTTTCAGTTTGAAAAAAAGGCAAGTTAAATACAGAGTCAAAACAATTGCCCTCTGGGTTCAAAGTCAAATGATACACAGCTAAGGTTGGATTCTATTTCTGGTATCTAAATAGTTAAATTTATATTTAATTATTTTATTTATTGATTTTTAAAATTTATTTATTTATCAAATAGCTAATCCTGTGCTCAGGCCAGCCAGGGGGATACAAAGAAGGTGGTCATGAGGTCTCAGGGTGGAGTAACTGTTCATCACTTCACTGGGTTTCATATATTTTCCACCTGTTTCTCTTGGCCTTCCTGAAATTTATATGCCAGTTGTCAGACAGACCACACGAAGTGAAATTATGAGACTGTATTTTGGGTAACCAGAAAAACACAATACTTACAGTCTGGCCTGTAACCTGGGCTTCGACATGTCCTTTTAACAAGCAAGCTGTAAGGCAGAGCAGAGAAGGTAGAAGCTGTAGACTTCACTTCTCCCACCCCTCCCCTTAGGCTTCTACAATCATGCAGTTAAATTAAAACAGGGAGATTACTGTAATAGAAAAAGGTACTTTTTAGCTTTATAATGGAGGGAGAAGGAAAGGTTCTGATCTAGGTTTGTTCTGGAGGTCCAAATGGCTCTGTGGTTTTACATTCAGGTCCCTTCAGTTCCGTATCCCAGATCGTTATCCTTCCATGTATCAGTGCCTCAGCAAACTGGAATAGCACAGAGAGGGAAGCACATTCAAGTGGAAGGTAAAGATTTTAGTGGGGAGGGAGGGAGAAGGGGACAAGCTGTGCAATGTCACTCCAGTTTCTTCCACAAAGTCATATCCATTCTTGGTTTTTCTGTGCCCTTTGGAAGAAACTGAGAACCTCCAAGACAGTCACTAGAAGGAGAATAACCAGCACAAAAAACAAGAAGTATGGTGATCACTTGATAGACACAAAAATATTCCCCAAAAATTCATTTCAGAGATCTACTAAAAACTGATGTAGAATGCCACTTAAAGTAATCTTGCAAGATTCTGGAAACTTGTATTACTGACAATTTTAAGATGTTGTCATTCTAGTATTGAGGCAACTGATGTGGTTGTAGAAAATGGATGGAAGAGAATAATTTACTTCAAATAGAAGGAAGTAAGCAAGAGGGAATCCATCAGATTTTATGGACTACAGAGAAAGAGCCAGAAAACCTTTTTAAAAATTTTAACAATGAAGGTGGTAGTGCATGGGTAAGTTTCCCAGTTTAATAAACACCTAGTTTTTCAGCAGCTGGATAAGGATTGCATCCTGCATTTACTTCTTCTCCCTCCAAACTTCAAACCAAACCAACACCCAGCAGCGCACATTTGACTATTCACCCAAATGATTTTGCTATATCAGTACAATAACAATACATACAGTGGCCATATTATTATACCTTACAACTTTAACCATCCTTGGTTTCTTGTCTTTTATTTTTGAAAGTAGTGCTTTCATTGTTCTACCCGTCTCAATAATGTCCTGAAAGAGATTAAAGAAATAAATTGTCCTTTGAGTCTGAAAGGAAAACCAGAACCAGACTGTCAGTGGATTAATTTAGAGCATAAAACCCTGGCAGCCCAGTGACATTGTTTTATATGCAATATGTACTAAATTGCAGAAAGGAGAGAAAAACATCCATGTCATTCCCCACCCCCTCCAATCTTTACTTACCTCTACTACTAACACGTTCTGGGAGAGATCATGTAGGGAGAGAAAAGAGAGAAAATATTTACATGGCAACATTCAGTAAATTGTACGTCCAGGAAAAGTACACTACAAGCTTTAGTTATTAGGAAGTTGCAATTGATTTTCAAAGGAGCTTGTTGCTTAACTACTGACATTACTTTAGTACTTTCTGAAGAGTCTTTCTGTAAGTATTTATGGAAACTTAAAACATGGTGAGTCAAGGTGTATCTATTATTCTATGTATAGCACTAGTATTGTAGAGCCATCCTGATGAGTCAGTTTGGTATTGTTCATTTCTAGGGGCTGTGGGATAAATTGTGGATCCACTGAGATCAGTGGGAATTACTCACTGTTTCAAAGTCCAGCATTTTAAATCAGTGTCAAGTGGCTGTAAGTATGCAGTACCAAAATCTTAATAAAGATGGACTTCCTGAAAGATAAACGAGAACAATTCTTTCCCTTTAAAAGGTGAAGATGCCAGTTCATACCTTCCCATTTAGTGTAGACAGTTCCTCGCCAACAAAACTGATTTTTCCTGCAGGTGAATCATTCTAGAAAGAAAAAGAAGAGAGGGAAGTCACATAAAACATGCTGAACAGTGTTATCCTGTATGTATGTATGAATGGTGTGCTGCTCTTGCTTTTTGCAAGATGTTGGAGCCCTGCCCTGGCTTTGTCATGTTGATTCATTCTGCTGTATGTTTGTTGAAGTGAATGTATAATATCCATCTGTTCATTGGGACAGATCAGTAATTCAGTTCCTTTTCAGTATGTAATCAGTTGAATTGCTTTGAACAGGATATATGCATAAACTCAATTTTTGTGGAGTTTTCATGTAAACTACCAGTATTTAGAATGTCAATCTATGCAGAGAGTCAATTTTCCAAAGAAAAGAAAATTGCTTACACAGTAGCTTTTTATTCTAACAAAATCCACAGTAATAGGCACAGATTTGTCACCATTTTGATTTAGTGCTTTTATATGGTCCAGCAAATCAGCAAAGAATTTATAGCCTCCTTTAAGGACACAGAGTGCAACAATGTGATGACTTCCCATGTCTTGCATGATATCTCTAGCCAAGCGTTCTGTCCTGGGAGATAAAAAAAAAGAAAACACACTCTGTAAAGTGTTTTGTATATCATACTTGTTTGTCCATATATTAAGCAGTGTCCAAGTTAAAATTCTGATCTTGCTGTTAGGTTTTTATAACTTGCAGGTTGTGACCACAGGAAGAAATAGGAAAGTTATGTACTTGCAGTGCACAAGATGATGCCTAATCCACTTGACATATTGTTGGTTTCATCCATAAATCTAAACATTTCAGGATAGACAGGTTTGGAGATATTTGAGGTACTATGGAAACTTAACTGGTGTTGTAGAGGAATCTTTTCCATAACCCCCTCCTGCATTAAACTCTAGAACAGAAGTGTTAGAGCTGCAGGGTTTCCATGTTTCTCATGGGCTGCACAGGGATATTATCATTGACTTCACTTTGCTCTTTCCTCTCATACCTGTCCAGGATGAGTCCATGAGGAATGAAGACTCTTTCTAAATCTTCTTCATAATGCTTAGGAATGCAAAATAGATTTTTGTTGTAGCCACTTTGTTCGTCTCTTATCTGCAAGTGAAAGGTAAATAGCTCTAAGAGTAGCAACAGAGTCAAACAGGAAAAAGCTTTCCAGTCTGATAATGTAAAGAAAGAATTCCCCCCACCCAATAATGTGTCAAAATAGAAATATTTCTGAGAGTTTTTGATCTTTCTGATAGAACAATTCACAGTCTGATAACTTAGGAGCTAGTGTGCTTGTCTGAGTTGTGACTGGATAGACAACTACTTTGCCCCAGTCATTGTAAGAGAAATTCTCAGCCATCATCAACCCATTAAAAAACTCCAGCCAAAACAATAGCAACCCCTCTTGTATTCCATTTCCCCTTCTGCAGAGCACAGTAGCTTGATTGTGTGGTAGACAAGCAAAAATTAAAATTTAAGGCAAGTAGATTGGGATTACAGGCCAGCAGGTTACTTTGGGGTGATGCACTACCTCGACTATCATTTTCCATTGTGTAAAAGAGAAAATTCTGCCTCCTAAGAGTGAATTCACAGCTGAACTTTTGACATACCAACCACCAGCTGTCTCAGAGGACAGGGAGATGACTCACCCCAAAGGAGAAGGTTTGAGATGGCAGTGGGAAGAGGAGAAGCTGCAGGGGGTGCCCATAGATGGGAAGCAGAGACCTGCTGAGCTGCAGCTCAGCTCGTTCTGCTGTTTGCCCTGTGAGCATGGCTGGGGACAGGCCAGGGCTGCTTCCCACCCATCAGGGCTTTAACCCTTTTGGCACCAAGATTTAGGATTACAGTTCTTTGTTCAACATGCTTATCCCACCAGGCTGTTGCACCCAGAGGTGTCCTCCTAGAGGCTACACATTCTCCATTTTGGGCTTCTTTTCTGGCCCCAAACAGATCTGTCTTTGGATTCAAGACCTTAGTGGATGCTTTGTTCATTTATAAAGCAGTGGTACAAAAGCAGGCAAGAAAAAATATATAATGAGGTAGAGGGAATTGTGAATAAGAGGGCTAATATGTGAGTATTAGAAATAAGTCCAGAAAAAATCAAATTAGTGAGATTTTGTCACATCTAATATTGCCCTGCTGTTGCTAAAAATACAGAACTGACTGAAAGAAAAATTCAGAGCTGGCTCAAAGTTTCACTAGTGCAAAATAGGTTATGTACACACCAATCCCATTCCAAAGAACTCAGTACAGTGCTTTGCTAATAGCACAGAGCTGTGGACTAGGCAGTAATAGCATAAAGTATTGATAACAACAAGTTAACACCTGCAAACTCTTTAGAGAGATGAATTGTTTTTAATTCTCCTTTTTTTGGCATAGCAGAGATGAGTACTTAGGAAGAAAAGAAAAATAGACTGTAGGGAACAGTAGGAGGTTATTATTTGCAAAACTCACAGCAGCCAAAAATGAGATAAGCAATTACTGCCATTTATTTTAAGTTGGCCATGAATAGCTTACTGCTTTTAAAGATAAAGCTCGAGACAGGTGTTAAAGATTTCAGAGAACAGATTATTGTATTACAAGGCAATGCATAAAGAATCTCACCCTGGCTGGACTAACTGTATTCTGCAAATACTCAGAATTGATAGGCCCTAATGGTCCAAGATACACATGCAGAATAACCTCCCAGCTGAGCCCTGGTTGAGTGGCAGCAGTACTGTTTTGCCTGGTTTAGCCACTATTTTCTTCTTGGCTAAAGTCAGCAAAGTGAAAGCTTAGGTGAAGGACTGTTTTTAAATTAGGTTTATTCGTGCCTTATTGATCTTGGGAGAGGCTCTGGCAGTGACACTGGTGTGACTGTGGGGCAGGCTAGACAATGACATGTGCAGCAGCTTCAGCGCAGTGCAGAGCTGCTCGTTGTTTGAGTGTTGGATTAGCCCAGCTGGACAGCTTGAAAAGGGGTAATTTCCACCTGTGTGAGGTTGCCAATGGTGAATACACAGGCAGGGTATGGGGTTCTGTCAACAAGAGTCAGTGGCAATAGGAATTCATTAGAAGCACTGGTACAATAATAACAGTATTTATTTGAGACGACAGGAACACCTAAGCATGATTTTCATTTGGAGTTCCAAAAAAGCACCTTTAAGGATAGTCACTGACATGATGAACAGTTCAAAAAGTTCTGTTTGTTTCATTGTTGGATTTTGTTTTGTTCTAATTTTTTCCCAGTATCCCCATCTCTCTTGCATTCTGCATAACTGCACCTTAAATGCAATGACAATGCTCCCTGTGATTGGAGCAGTTTCTTTTGCCCAATCATGATACTGATTGCAGTGTTTAATGGACTTCAGCTTTACCATTTGCTTTTGCATTTATAAATTGGGCTTTCATCTGCACAGCAAGTTAAAGGTCAGCCTCCTTGACAGTAAATTCAGCTTCCTGCTGCACTTGATGAGAGGCATCACAACTGGCTCAGCTCAAGTGAGGGAGGGGCTTTGTCCATGTTAATGTACCTATGGAATAAAGCTAATTTAAGGCTTACAGGTGTGCACAGTCATTACTGCTTAGAGCTCCTCCAGCAGTGCACCTTTGCACCTTTTATTTGGTTAACTGTGCTCCTTGAGGGTATTTTGTGCAAACAATATCTGTTACATTAATACTTTGTTTGCTGCTGTGTGTGAAGCCTTTTTTAAGGTCTGATGGAAGGTTCAAGAACAGAACCTTAAGGATTGCATCAGTTTGAACACCACATCACCATAGCAACCTGCTGCATACGCTCAACAGGCTCATAAAACCATTTGTATGGTGGCACATGCTAAATAATACAGCAGCAGCCCATAATAATAAAGCAGTCGGCTAAACTATCATACAGAGTAATTAAATTTTTAAATCATGAGTTTATAACTTGAGGAATTAGTTGTTTAATTTAGTTTCAGTCTCATCTGTTGTTCAATTACTGTAGGTTTCTGAGTTTAAGGGGAAAAAGCCAACAAAATGAACTACAGCAATTTTGTACAGTAAAGAGATTTATAAGTAAGTATTGTTTCATCAGCACAGAATGAAAGAATATGAATACAGGTATATTAAAGTCAAACAAATAATGTCACAAGTTTGTAGAAAAGTGAGTCTATTAGATACTTCTGTTCTGAAATCCAGTTTTTCTCCTGTAAGAACTGAAGCCTTTCATGAGTTACTATTTCTAATGTTCTACTATATTTGCTGAAGCTGACCTCCTTCCCCCCACCCAAAGCTCCCGTCAAGCAAAACAGCAAACATGAAGGTATTATTCTTTCTTACCTGCAGTCCATGAGCCATAACCTCACTTTGAACACTGCTCTCGTGGAATGAGTTGATGTTCTTACTGTGGTTTGGCTTGCTCTGTTTTCATCTTGCAGTCAGATCAAGACCTGCTTCTAAAAGGTCAAAATTGCCATCTTTCCTGCAGGAAGCATTACTTCCTTCTATTAACGCACTGACATCACAATCCCAGCTTCTTACCTAATCAGATTAACCAGAAATAAAATAGGCTTGAGCCCTTCTGGAACCAATTGGAGTAAAGGTATGGGGAACGAGGGAGATGCAAAATGAAGTTCATAAATCAAATGAGTGGGAAGGACTAGGCAGAGTAGTCGATTTTTAATTGAAAATACACATGAGATATTTGGCTGTAGGAGGTGGTAATTTAGTGGTGTATGTGTAGAAGGTAAGTTTGTATACCAGTTTCTTACACAGTATTTGAACATCCATTGTTGTGACAAAGTCCGTGTCTTTTTAAAATTATTGTCCTAACTTGCTGTCAGAAAATGTCAGTGAGAGATAAAGCAGAATAAACAAAGCCATAATTTTAAAAAGGACTTGAAGCAGAGCAAAGCAGCTGTTGGGACAGAGTGAACCCTGCCTGACATTCTTCCAGATCATCCTTTCATAAAATGAGAGGGTGATAGTTCCAGTAATATGCTTCACATCATTTAAAATCAAATGGTACTGACATTCACTGTAATCTGATTAGTTTACCAAACTGCACTATTATCTGGGATTAACACGAAAGTCTTAAATTTTTAAAAATTAATCCTACTAACAAAATGAGCTAAAGCCAGCTTGCATATAACATATTACAGAATGTTCTTACCAGATTGGGTACATTTTATTAATTCAATGATTTTAGTGTTGTCTTGGGGAGAGGGCACAGTAATTAATGAAAGTATACTTTTCTTGTTTCTTTGTAGTCTTACAGTTGCTCTTCAGATTGTGGCTGGTAATACTTGAGATAATGTCGTTCCAGTGGATTAATGGGCATATCCACAACTTCCAGTGATATGTTAAATAGTAGTACTATTTGGGAACTATTAATGCCTTGAGGGTACCTGACCCCTATTTGATGTAGTTGGCAGTACCTTCCTTCTATGAGTTCTCTGTCATGTTTCCTACCTTACATACGTGAGCTCCATATCCTGAGAAAAGTCTTGCTTTTCTAGTTCTTAGTGTCAGGCAGCTCCTTCTACCTGACATACAGATTTCACAATTGTTGGTTGATTCTCGTGTAGTTTTCCACATTTAAACAGAATTTAGCCTAATTTTGCTAAAATCAACAATGTGGCTGAGACTACTTGTTTGAAACTTCTTTCTAATTAAGGCACTAATTATCGGCACTATTCTCTGTTTACCATTTCCAGCAGTCTAACTGAGCACAGTCACTGCAATTACAGTGAAGAAATAAGTATTGTTTGCATATCTGATATGATCTGTATCTCCCATCTTGGCTGTGCCGATTTAAAATGCTTTGCTATTCTCTTCTCTATGTTATATAATTTTTGCATGTTTAATCTTTTATAGGAAAACCTTGGTGGCAGATCCCCCCTGCTCAGCAGCCTGCTCTCTGAATAGGCCACTCAAAAATATTCTCATGTGTAATATATTTGCTTTGGTTCTGGATATTAGAAGACCACCTCTGTTATATAAATTTTATAGACCCCTGAAGTCTTTACTTGAGGTGAGTTTGATTCCACACTACTCACATTTTTATAAATTGTACGCTGGACCTTGCAAAGCTTTGTGTCTCTTTTAGGCACTGTGCAGTTAGATCTGATCTGAACTGGGCCTGGGCCTGAAGTTCTGTTTAATTCTGTTTCAGAAAAGCATTGCAGAAAATCCCTCTCACTGACTTTGCATTTTGGCTGCATGGGGAGTATTAGCTGAGTGACAAATGAGCATTGACTTTATTGATTAGAGCCCATGTTTACCCTTTCATTAAACTTTACACTGGTTCAAGAAATCTCTACCTGCTCTATTTGAAAACTACTTCCCAGATCATATTTGTTAGAATAAATTCAGGATTCTCAGTCAATTCCGCAGAACCATGATGTGGTTCCCACATACCCCTATCACCTGGCAAGTACTTGAAACTCCAATAAATGTGTTGGTGGTCTCAGTTAGTGGACTGTGGTTTGCATTATGAATGTTACTGCTAGAGTGAATGTTTTTTTAGTCTCACATTCTGAAGAAAAAAGAATTCGCAGGTGAAGCATTCATAGTAAGACAGACCTTTGTCCTTGCTGAATAATGAAAATAGAATGTAGCTAGCTGGCATCCTTGGATGGCTTCTCTGTTGTAAATTGTGTGAGCATGGTCCCATAGGAAAGAACAAAAAAGTTTAAGCATATATACATTTGTTCCATATAGGAGCCGCAAGTGCATCTTTGTAAAATTAAATGTTTTGAGGAAAACAGTGCACCAAGCAGTCGGGTTACAATCTATTGCCCTGTTCTAGATAACAGCAGAGAGTTAGGAAAGAGCCAGTAAGTGTAGCCCACATAAACAGACTGGAAATTTATTAGATCAGCACCGATAACTTGGTGAAACAGCAGCCAGTCAATACAGAACAACAGTGCTCTTGTCCTTGTATCCATTCCCTGAACTGCTGAATCAGTAATTAAGTTTTTCAGGACATGATTTTACTGTTTGCATAACTGAGTTTGTTAAAGATGTTTACATTCTATTACACTTTGGAGTGACTGGTCTTGAGACTGCTGAAAACATTTTAAAGATCTTTTAGAAACGTTGCATAGACACTAATAAAACCAGAAAGCAAATACCTGCAGTAGGATGTGCTGTACGACTGTTCCTTCGGTTACCAAACCTCGCAAACCAGACGCGGGCAGTGCCCACGAGAGGGCAGCGCCGGCCAAGGGGAGCGCCGGAGCTGTGCAGGGCAGGTTGGGCTGGGGATTGGCAAAAGGTTCTTCCCCCAGAGGCTGGTTGGGCACTGCCCAGGCTCCCCAGGGCAGTGAGCAGGGCCCCAAGGCTGCCAGAGCTCCAGGAGGATTTGGACAACGCTCTCAGGGACAGGGTGGGGTTGTTGGGGTGTCTGTGCAGGGCCAGGAGTTGGGCTCAGATGATCCGACAGAGAAAGATGGGGAGGGATGTTTTACAACAGCATGTGGTGACAGCACAAGGGGAAATGGATTCAAACTGAAAGAGAGTAGGGTTAGATTGGATATCAGGAAGAAATTCTCCCCTGAGAGGGTGGGGAGGCCCTGGCACAGGTTGCCCAGAGAAGCTGTGGCTGCCCCATCCCTGGAAGTGTCCAAGGCCAGGTTGGACGGGGCTTGGAGCAACCTGGGCTAGTGGAAGGTGTCCCTGCCCATGGCAAGGGGTGGGACTGGATGAGCTTTAAGGTCCCTTCCAACACAAACCATTCAGTTATTCTGTGATCCCTGTAGGTCTCTTCCAGTTCAGAATATTCAGTGATTCTGTGAAATATTTAGATCAGTTCCAAACTTGTATAATTGTGTATTACAGGAAAACTGCTCTGATTTGCACCACTGAAGACCTGACCCGTGGGTTCCAGGTTCCAAGTGGCTGATAAAACCTTAAATTAAAACTGAACACTTGTATTCAGTGACTGATGTGTTATTAGGAAAATTGATCAATAGACTTTGCAATGGCTCGACTTCAGTAATCCCCAGCTCATCCTAAATCTGGTGGGGTTTTTTTGTTTTTGTTTTTGGTGGGTTTTTTTGTTGTTTTTTTTTTTTTTTACTTGGCACTTTTAAGTCTTAGATAAGACCAGCTGCTTAATTGGTTGCCTAAAATCTGTTTGGAAAAACAGCACTGCACATCCCATGATAAACAGTGCATGTTTACAATTAAAGATTAGAAGCCATTGCACAAATTTAAATCTCCTTATGTACTGCTGTGAATTATGTAGCTTGTTTTACATAGAAAAGTTTATGAGTATGAATCTTCATACTTTGTCTATTTTCTGTCTGGTTTGAATATGAGATGTTTATTATTTTACTGAAACAGAAAAGTGATATAAGTCTTGACCAATATTGGATATTTATAAATGTTGCACATGAAAATGTCTTCTGCTTTTAAAACTCCTGTGATAACCCCAACAAACCACCAGTAACCCTAACAAACACAGACTGGTTGATGCCAGAACTTGAAGGAAACACCCTGTAAAAGATTGCTCAGATTTTAAGTTTGAATAATTCTTGAAAATACCTTCAGAGCAGAATGATAAATTCTGCAGGCTCTAAATTCTGATTGCTGACCTGGAGGAAAAGTGCAATATATATTAACAGAGTCTTTGAGGCCATAACAGAAATATTGAAGTGATCGTGTGAAGGAAACCTTTTACTACCCTTGGTTTGCAGATAGGAGAAATGTTTCAGTCTCCTGGACTGTCTATATTAGAAAGTTATTTTGAGAGAGGATCTGATTAGGACTGAAGCAACAGAGCAGAGAGACAAGGAATCAGGACTTCTGGATTTTATTCACAGCTCAGACACACAGTTTATTTGCTGTATGACCGTGGTCAATTTACTTTCCTGACTGCTCCTGTTGTACCTCTGACCTCCCTGTGCCCTGCTTTTCTCTGTTGCCTCTTATAATCAGCTGACCTTAGTATTCCAAGACTTCTACGCTCTGGGCTGCACGGGTTGTTGTTGGTTTTGGGAAGGTGCCCTCTAAGAAACCCCATTGCTGTCATTAACTAGGGGTCAAATGAATGATTTGAAAAAAGATCTTGATCTATTCACTTGAATGTGAAAATCCGGTTGTTCCAGTTTCATGTGTCCATGTTTCATGTGTCCATGAGCAAACTCCATGCCTGCCATGGTGTGCAGTGTGTCTGATCCAGTTCCCCCACCCCCCAACAGCTGGATGGGTTGTTTAACCTCGGGAGCAATGGGTGGTCTGGGAAGCAGCCTGCTCTGCTCTTGGGGAGCTGGACTCATCTCCACTACAGAGATGTTTAATAAAAATATTTGTTAAACAATGGCTTTATCTGAGTGTGTGATCACAGCTGTTTTATTTTAGCAACGTAACAGCAATAACAATTAAATCCATATTTCTCCTTGGATATTTATTTTCCTGAATTCATTCTTAGTGTGGTGAAAGAATTTGGTGTGAATTGC